CCTTGTTTATCATTGTACTCATGCAGACTTGCAGCAGGTAAAACAACGCCAGATATTCTCTTCTCTCTTCAAAAAAGCTGCTGTTTATTGTTCACGCGATCCTAAATGAGAACAACAATAATTTGTTGCATAAGAAAAAACTTACCATTGAATTGTTATTTATCATCAACCTAAATAGAAAGAAAAATTGTTTCTTATTTAAATATAAACTTACCATTAATTTGTTATTTGTCATCAACCTAAATAGAAAAAAAAATTGTTTATTATTTAAATAGAAATTTATCTTTCAATTGTTATTTTTCAGGAACCTAAATAGAAACTTATCTTTTAATTGTTATTTGTCATAGACCTAAATAGAAAAATAATTGTTTATTATTTAAATAAAAGCTTACCATTGAATTGTTAATTGTCATAAACCTAAATGGATAAAAACGAATGTGTTTCAAGAGACACAACTTACTCTGGAACTGATTTAGTCTAAAATATATTTTATATGAATAAATATCTGAAAAGTGTGATTCTTTTTGTAAGATTTTGTAATAAAGATAGTAATCTCTCAGTGCTCCAGATAGAATGAACATACGTACTATACTATTTAATTATCATTTTAATGAATCTTGACAGTTTAAATGAATCAGATACAAATATCATTGTTGTGTTATGAACGATGGTTGTTTGTTGTTTTGATTGGTTGTTGTTATTGTTCAATAGTATTTACCTTGATTTTATTATTATTATTTCCTTTTTTGTTTATTTATTTATTTTTATTTATTTATTTTTATATTTATTTATTATTATTATCTTATTTATTTTTCTGTTTAATTTAAAAGATTTTCTCATCCCCATCGTTCAATGTACTGGTTTTTTGAAAAATAATTAATTTGCATTATTTTTGTGGCTTTTTCTTGTTCTTGTTTTGATTTAAAGCCGATTATTGCTTCATTTTTCTTTCGATTGATCGTGATTTGATGACTTGTATGAATATTGTCATCTTTCAATTAAGCCCGGATCTTTCTATAATCGTACTTAT